CCCTGCCAGCAATTGTTACTGCTTGATTTCATGATAGCAGCCATTCCTTCTGTGGCATGGTGGAATCTCAGTGTTGTTTTCATCTGCATCTCTCGAATGACAAGTGATGTTGAACATTTTTTCATATATTTATTTGCTGCTTTTACTTCTTTGTCTGAGAAATGTCTGTTCATTTCAGATGCCCAGTTTTGAATTGGGTCCTTGAATTTGGCGGGGGGAGTCTGATTATTTTCAGTTCTTTATATATTCTAGATAGTAGTCCTTTGTCTGAGGTACAGCTGCTAAAAATTTTCCCACATTGTAAGTTGTCTATTAGCTCTGTTGGTGGTTTCTCTTGCTGTGCAGAAGCTTTTTAATACGATGAGATCCCAGTTGTTGATTCTTTGTGCTAGTTCCCGGGCTACTGAAGTTTGTTCATAAAGTCTTTTCCTATGCCAATGTCTTCAAGAGTTCTACCTAACTTATCTTCCAGGAAGGTTAGTGTTTCTGTTTTAATATTTAGATATTTAATTCACTTCGATCTTAGTTTAGTGCATGGTGATAGATATGGGTCTAGTTTTAATCTTTGGCAAGTTGAAATCCAGTTTTTTCAACACCATTTATTGAATAGGCTATCTTTCCTCCAGTGAGGATGGCTGGCTCCTTTGTCAAAGATGAGGTGGCTGAGTATGTCTGAAGTTGTTTCTGCATCTTCTAATCTACTCCACTCATCCCCAGGTCTGTTTCTTTACAGTACCATGCTGTTTTTATCCCAGGAGCTTTTAGTATAGTTTCAAGTTGGGGATTGTGATATCCCCTGCCATATCTCTGTTGCCTAGAATTGCTTTTGCTATTCTAGGTCTCTTCTGGTTCCAAGTGAATTCTTGGATTGTTTTCTCTAGTTCTGTGAAATATATCGTTGGAATTTCAATCGGCATTGCATTAAATCTATGTAACAGTTTTGGAAGTATGGCCATTTTCACTATATTGGTTTTTCCTACCCAAGAACAAGGGATGTCTTTCCATTTTCTTATATCCTTTTCGATCTCTTTTTTCAGAATGCTGTAGTTTTCAGTGTAGAGGTCTTTTGCTTCCTTTGTTAGACCGATTCCTAGCTATTTAATTTTTGGGATGCTATTGTAAAAGTAATTCTTTCCCTAATTTCTTTCTCAGTGAGTGTGTTATTTGTGTACAAGAAGGCTATTGTTTTTTGAGTGTTGACCTTGTATCCAGATACTCTACTGAACCTGTCAATTAAGTCTAGAAGTCTTTTGGTGGGGTTTTTTGGGTCTTCTGTGTAAAGTATCATATTAGCAGCAAATAATGACAGTTTAACTTCTTCCTTTCCTATCTGTATTCCTTTTATTTCTTTCTCTTTTCTAATTGCTGTGGCTAATGTTTTCAGAACTATATTACACTTGATCTTAGGCAAAAGGCCGAGAAGTGATCCAGAATTATATTGAACAGGAGTGGTGATAGTGGGCTTCCTTGTCTTGTTCCTGATTTTAGCATGAAAATTTTCAGTTTTTGACCATTTAGTATGATGTTGGCTGTTGGTTTTCATAGATAACCTTAATCAGGTTGAAATAAAGACTTTCAATTCCAATTTTCTACAGCGTTTTTATCATGAATGGGTGTTGCATTTTGTCAAATGACTTTTCTACATCTATTTAGAAGATCATATGGTTTTTTCTCCTTGACTCTGTTAATATAGTGTATTACATTTATTGATTTATGTATGTTGAAACATCCTTGCATCCCTGGGATAAATCCTACTTGGTCAGGGTGTATGATCTTTTTGATAACTCTCTGTATTCTGTTTGCCAGTATCTTGTTGAGGATATTTGCATCTATGTTCATTAGGGAGATTGGCCTGTAGTTCTCTTTTTCGGTTAGGTCTTTTCCTGGTTTTGGAATCAAAGTAACACTTGCTTCCAGGAATGAATTTGAAAGTATTACTTCCCTTTCAGTTTTCTTCATGAGTTTAATGAGTAATGGCAATAGTTCTTCTTTAAATGTCTTAGAATTCAGCGTGAAGCCATCAGGACCTGGGCTTTTTTTTGTTGGTAAATTTTTTATTACATTTTCAATTTCACTCATTGTAATTGGGGTGTTTAGAATTTCTATATCTTCTTCATTTAACTTTGGCAATTCATATGTATCTAGGAATCCATCCATTTCTTCTGTGTTTTCCATTTTATTAGAGTAGAGGTTCTCGAAGTAGATATTGATGATTCTCTGGATTTCTGGTGGATCTGTTGTGATTTCACTTTTTTTGTTCTTAATTGTATGGATTTGAGTCTTTTCTTTCCTTTTTTGATAAGGTTGGCTAAAGGTTTATCAATTTTACTTTTTATTTCAAAAAAACCAACTCTGATTCATTGATTTTTTTGTATAATTCTCTTAGTCTCCATTGCATTAATTTCTGCTCTGATCTTTATAATTTCCTCTCTTGTAAGAGCTTTGGGTTTGTTATGCTCTTCTTTTTCTAGGAGCTTGAGTTTCTCCATTAGGTTATTTGAGTTCTCTCTGATTTCCTAATATGGGCATTCACTGCTAAGAATTTCCCTTGTAGAACTGATTTCATTGTGTCCCATAGACTCTTGTATGCTGTAGTGGCATGGTCATTTACTCATAGAAACTGTCTAATTTCTTCTTTAATTTTCTCGGTGACCCATTGGTTGTTCAGGAGAGTGTTATTCTATTTCCATGTGTTTGTGGGGATTTTGTGGTTTCTTATGCTATTGATCTCCAATTTTCTTGCACTATGGTCTGACAATATACAGGGGGTAACTTCAGTTCTTTTACATTTACTTAAACATGTCCTATGAGGTAACATGTGGTCTATTTTTAAGAATGATCCATGTGCAGCTGAAAAGAATGTATATTCTGATTTTGTAGGGTGGAACACTCTGTAAACATCTATTAAGTCTATTTTTTCAATAGCTCGGTTCAGTTCTAGAATTTTGTTGTTGACTTTTTGTCTAGATGATCTATTTGTGATAGTGGGGTATTGAGGTCCTCCACTACAATTGTATTAGTGCTTATTTGGGTTTTCATGTCCATTAATATTTGTTTTGTATAGTTGGGGGCATTCATATTTGATATATATATATATATATTTATGATTGCCATCTCTTCCTCTTGGATTGTTCCCTTCACAAGGATGTAATGACCATCTTTGTCTCTCTTAATTAGTGCTGGTTTGAAATCTACTTTTTCTGCTAATAAGATTGCTACCCTGCTTTTTTGTGGGTTCCTGTGGCATGGAGAACTGTTTTCCATCCTTTTACTTTCAGTCTTTCAGTCTTTGAATTTCTTTTTGAGTTAGGTGTATTTCTTGTGTACAGCCATGCAGCATATTGTTGGATTTTGCTTCTTAACCCATTCTGCCAGTCTATTTCTTTTGATTGGTGAATTGAGGCCATTAACATTGATGGTTATAATTGATAGATATTGACTCATACTTGTCATGATGTTTTGCTATTGTTGGCTCTTTTATTTTTCCCCCTTTCCCTTTAGTTTCTTGCCTTGCCTGGTGGCTTCCTTCTGTTGGGCCTCATAGATTTGTGACCTTCATTGTCTTTGTCTAGGATATGGTTTAGAATTGTTTTGGAGTTCTGGTTTGGTGTTCATGAAATTTCTCAGGTGTTCTTTGTTGTGGAAGTATCTAATTTCCCCATTGATTTTGAAAGATAATTGCAGGATACAACAGTGCAGGTTGGAAGTTATTTTCTTTTAGGGCTTGAAATACTTCACTCTAGGCTCTCCTTGACT